TTTACATTGTCGACGAAAATTTAAACCCTGTACCCATCGGAGTTCCTGGTGAAGTGGTTGTTGGTGGCGCAGGAGTTGCCCAAGGCTATCTTGACGGCACCAAAACAACTGAACGCTTTTCGAATGATCGGTACGCAAGCAAGTTTTTCCAGGAGAGGAACTGGGCAAAAATCCACCGCACTGGAGATCGCGGAAAACTAAATCGCGATGGTGGTCTTATTCTTCTGGGGCGCATGGACGGAGATAACCAAATCAAATTGAGAGGAATTCGCATCAATATTGAAGAAATCGAGACCGCGATCGTCAGTTCTTCTGCTGGAGCTATCACGCAAGCTGTTGTATCTGTTCGTTCAGATGCAACTCAATCTGGGAGTGAACAATTTCTAGTTGCCTTTACTATAATGGCTCCCTCGCATGACTCTGAAAATGTGCTTCAGTTTCTCAGGCACCTTTCCCAAGGACTGCCATTACCACCTCATATGCGACCTGCTGCTATCATTCCAGTTGAAAATATTCCCCAAAATATCTCGGGGAAGACTGATCGTGCCGCAGTCAGCGCACTTCCCATTCCGTTGATTTCATCTAAGCTACCAGACGACAGCACTCTCACGGCAATTGAACAGTCATTGCGTCAGCTCTGGCAACAGGCACTTCCACGGGAACTGAGTAGCTTTCACTCAATTAATTCCCTATCCGACTTTTTCCACGTTGGTGGAAGTTCACTCGGTCTGGTGAACCTGCAAGCTCTGATCAAGGAAAACCTCGGTGCGTCTATGGCATTGTATCAACTTTTTGAAGCCAGCACTCTACGTGGAATGGCGGCAAAGATTCAAGACATATCTCGCCCCGTACTTGAGCTAGATGTTGATTGGGACACAGAAGTTGAAGTCGCATCCGACCTCACTTCATCTCTGAATTACAGTGATACTCACATTATCACCTCCGGGATCAACACCGTTGTGCTTACCGGGGCAACTGGTTTCCTTGGTAAGGAAATACTCCGCAGACTCATAAAAGATGAAAAGGTCTCATCTATTCATTGTCTTGCTGTCAGAAAACGATCCTTAGATGTACCTGAGCTATTTGCTCATCCGAAAGTTCATTTGCATTATGGTGATCTAGGGTCTCCTCAATTAGGGCTCTCGGAATCTGACACCAGATCGATATTCTCCTGTGCAGACATTGTTATTCACAATGGCGCGGATGTATCGTTCATGAAAACATATCGGACCCTCAAGCTGATCAATGTGGCATCGACAAAGGAACTCGTCAAACTTGCATTGCCCCGGCGTATTCCATTCCATTTTGTCTCGTCGGCTGGTGTTGCACGCCTTGCCGCCCAAGATAGTTTTGGGGAGACGTCTGTCTCGTCGTATCCTCCTCCGTCTCGACCAACAGATGGGTACATCGCTGCCAAGTGGGTGAGCGAAGTCTATCTGGAACGCATCAACCGCCAATTTGGTCTCCCCGTATGGATCCACCGTCCATCGAGCATCACCGGTACCAATGCACCAGAACTTGACCTCATGGACAATGTCATGCGGTTCACCAAAGCAACCCAGAAAGTGCCAGACTCGAGCTCATGGTCAGGGGTCTTTGATCTCATTTCTGTACAGTCAGCCGCCTGCCAACTACTCGAAGGCGTTCACCAATCCAGCATCACTGAACCAGCTATTGGGTCTGTGACCTACCTCTATGAATCTGGCGAGATGAAGATAGGGCGTGATGAGATTATACCCTTGATGCAATCGGGCTCGGGCCAACAGTTTCAGGTCGTTTCTCTCGACGAGTGGGTGAATGCTGCCGAACAAGCTGGAATGAGTGTGTTGCTGGGAGAGTACTTGCGCAGGGCCTCTGATGGTCAAGTTCTCCTCCCTAGATTAATTAAAGCTGGATTTTCCGAGGATGAATGAGCATGTACGGGAATAGAAAGTTAGAGCCACAATCAGTTACCATCGACCGAAATCATTACTTGTTATTGTTATCCGCAGTCTTACGCAACTTGTGCTTTTTTTACTCTTGTGAAGAAATCTGTCCTTAGTCGAATACACTTGCTAGCTCTACAGGTTCATATCCCAGTATTCTCCGGCCGTTATTTGAGCGGAATATGTCCGTCAGATGACATAGGCCACTCGAATTTTAGAGCAAAAGCTAAGGTTTCTCTCGATTTTCAGTATTGATCCGTCTCCTATGTGAGATTGAGATGGGGTGGAATAACTCACTTGATTGATGTTCGGCTATCAACGTGAATACCTGTGGATGGAAATTAACTAGGCCGAATAATGTATACTAGTAGGTCAACACCAGGAGCTAAGAGTAGTCTTGATCTCTTTTTCCTTTTACTTTCCCCTAATCTCACGATCCAGACCCGACTATGCAGTCAGTGTTAGACATTTGAATGAATGATATTTTGATTTAACCCACTGACGAAGCCCAAGAGCGATTGCTCTCCTAGTCTTCGATGATGCGTACCTTTTGAATTCGACGACCTTGTTGTTTTGTCTTGTAATTTCAATGATCAGGTCAGATTTATGGTATATTTCAGTGGTATATTGTACGTCCCCATTTTCTGCTCTTCCAAAATTCAAGAGGCAACCTTTTCCCTTTATGCCACCGTATCTATGTAACTTGTTGATTCATCATATCAATGCAAGGGGGTAGTCTAGGTATACTCGAGAGAGCCCTGACAGCAAATTTTCTCCACTTTGATACTTACCTCTATATATCGATATGAACAATATTGTATTAGTACAGTGTACTGCATGTATGAAGTGTGAGATTTTTTGAAAGGATACTTGTATAAATAGGTAAATAGTAAGGATATCTAATCTCTTCAACCTTGAGATATGAAGGTATATCTGTAGACTTCTTTTCCACCTGCAGATAACCTCGCACCCACATTATAATGGAAACAGGTAGAATCACAGACCCATCTGAGCCCATCGGTTGACAATGACTTAATGCAGCTTAAATTGGACTACATTCCTGCAATACAACAGAAGACACATTGTATGCGGAGAAAGGCGTAAGCAATGTCAAATTGCATCGCGAGCGCTAATGTTGCATCAGGGGGTGTTGCCATTCTTGGCTAGCGTTGAAATGACCCTAAGTATCATCATGTTAACTGCTGAGAATAAACGAGAATTCCCAACCAATAATTATCTCTACGTTCTCGCAGGGACCGTGATGCCCAGGTATTATTCCCGGTTATATGTCTAAAAAGGCAGGAGTTAGAACTTTGACCAGAATCGCCGATTTTAAACCCAGCATTTCATGGCCAGAAACCTCACAATTTGGGCTAGTTTCTTTTTTCTTTTGTTTCATGGTCTTTTCTTTATTACTGTTTTATTCTGTGTCGTACAGTAAGACGAATTAAATTTTATATAAATGGGTCTCCTAAATTCACAAGCGGTTAAAATTCCACCAGCTTTTTTTTTAACATTCACAAGATGGCAGCCCGGGATGAATTACCCTCAAATCAGACCGGCATCATTCAACATGAAGGCGGCATTCTTCAAATCACTCATGGCCTCCCTATCCCAGAACTCGAGCCCCATCAAATGTTGGTGAAGACTGCTGCAGTTGCCCTTAACCCCTGTGATTATAAAATGCCATTGAGATTCCCGACCCCAGGACTCTGGGACGGGTGTGACTTTTCAGGTACAGTGGTTGCTCTAGGAAGCGAGGCTGCTGCACAGGGACGATTCCGTCTCGGAGATCAGGCTTTTGGTGCTGTTCAAGGCTCGAATATGTCGGATCCAATGTCTGGAGCCTATTGCGAGTACATTCGAACCGAACCGGAGCTCACTTTCCATGTTCCTAAGGGAATGGATATTTTCAATGCACCCTCCCTTTCAGGGACCGCAATTGCGACTCTTGGGGTTGCTCTGTTTTGGTCGCTTCAATTACCCGGAGAATTACACACACCAGCATTCAAACACGAAGACGTTCTGGTATACGGTGGAAGTAGCACTATAGGGCTACTTGCAATCCAGATGGTGAAGCTGTAAGCATTCCATTTCCTTCTTGTGGCTTTTATTATATTCAAATCACTGATCTATCTTGCTTAGCTGTGGCCACCGGGTAATCACCACATGCTCTCCTCACAACTACGACTTGGTGAAATCATACGGGGCTGATCTCGTCTTTGATTACAACTCTCCAACTTGTGCCGAAGATATTCGAGCGGCCACAAAAAACACTTTGCGCTACGCGCTTGATCCTTTTGCGGAAGCCAAAACTCTGCGGATGTGCTACGCAGCCATTGGTCGTACTGGAGGAAGGTACTGTGCACTTGAGCAGTATCAAGAAAGTCTTTGCTCGCGAAAGACAATCAAGCACGAACTAGTCATGGGAGGTGCCATCTCTGGGCGAGGTGTTGAGCTCCCAGACCCATACGGCATTCTACCACGACCTGAGATTGGGGTCTGGGCTCGGTCATGGTATGCAGAACTCCAGAAACTGATAGACAATGGGAAGCTTAAAATGTGTCCATTTCAAACCATTCCGGGCAAATTTGAAGGGATCTTGGAGGGGTTGGACATGCTACGAAATGGAAAGGTTTCCGGAAAGAAGCTGGTCGTCCCTATGGCTACGAAATGAAAGTTTGCATTGAGTTGGAGACTTGAAAGAAGACTAGCCAAATCCCCAATTACTTGTGGAAATTGAATATGGGTTGCTCAGCCATTGGAATTACATAACGCTTTGTACACCCGAGACTTGGCTCTTCGCCGTTCCTTGTAGTTTATGGTTGTTAGCTAGTGGATAGATTCCATACGCAGAGACCTCGCTACGATATCTGCTAACTTCAGATGAGAAGTACCATCCCATTAGAACCGAAGATGACTTAACCAAGTAATAAAATAGAAACAGGGTTTAGGGTTTAGGGGTTTAGCTTGTCAAGACTGCGGTGTGTGGTGGTTTTATGCGGTGCATTCAAAATTTCGATTTGCATCGAAAACAACCTATCATTAAGATAAGTAATAGTATGTGGGTAGCATCTAATTTGGACCATCGTAAACCATCTTAGCGATAACCTTCTTCTCCTCCTTTGTCGTGCTAATATTTCGCGTCAAATATCTCTTTCCATCGAGCTCTTCAAATCCCCAAATCACTTCCGCTTCCCATCCCTTTGATGGATTCTGGGCTAATTCTTGAATCACCTTGCCACTCAGGCTAGCCACTTCTAGAACCTGACGGATGGTGTCTTCCAGTATAGCAGATATGTTCACAAATTGAAGCTGCATCTCAATATCTCCGAAAATAGGCAGCGAGACATCCTGTGGGGTTCCATCGACTGAATAACTCCCTTCGCTGTCAAATCCCCCTGGATTGACAGTTTGTATCATACGTAGGCTTGTGACTGGTTTCACATCGGTGGCCAGATCAGAACCTTCATTGGAGTCTCCCTCTATGCATGGGCCATCTTTAGCGGATAGAGAAGTGGTCTGGCTGATTTGTAACGAAAGCCGGGCATGTCGCAAGACCTTTCGGACAACCCAAGGTACGCCTTGCTAATGTTTCTCAGTAAAGCAAAACCAACACCTCGATTAATGTTCGCTCTTACCAAGACGAAAACGTCATCTGGATCGGTTGACAGCTTTCGGTTCTAATCATCATATTAGCCCATGCGTTAGGTAAGTAGTAAACTAGTGAAAGCATACCAATACCCAGGTTCCAGTAAGATCAGGAACATCTTGGAAACTAGGTACAGCCATCCTCGGGGTTGGGATTTGGCTAATGATTGGAGAAGACGTCTGTTCTTCTGTTTGGAAGGTATATCTGTGTGGTAATGAGGAGATCGTTCCTTTTTAACGGTAGAGTTCAGTCTCCTTTACTCCGTACTCCAGGGACCCCTATGTGGATTCTAAATCAAGATCGGACTCGGACTCGGTGTCCGAACATGCAGGGGATATCTAGGGCGGCAGTCCATCCATGCACAGGCCATTGCAATGCCTGCGGCGCCCATCAATACCATGGTGTTTCATTGAAATAAATAGAACAAAATCAGTATGTCTGGCTGCTCACTGAGTATCCCTACATCACGCCTTGTTCGCCCGGTTTGCGATAATCATGAGCGCGAGGATACATTCACCCACTCTGTGTGAACCTTCGTTTATCCGATCTCTAAATGCCGTTCTGCTCCTATTTCTCATCGGTTTACAGTTGAATTACTCTACGGTACCAAGTTCTGTAAGCCAACACAAGGCCCAAATAGACTTTTTTCAAATATATACGAGGATCATGAAAGGCCATCCTATTAAATAACCACTGTGTCTTTAACAAGTTGCCGCAAGCAGTCCATTATTTCCATCAACGACATTTCACAGGGATCTTGTTCTTGTGCTAGGACAATGTCGCGGATTGATGTTGGCCAACCCTTCTGGCGGAGTGTTTGGGATGGATCAAAGTCTTGATCCTCTTGGTGTTGCGCCGAGCTCGACCGCAATTTAAGGGCTTGGTCAAGCTTACTCATCATTGTAGAGCTGAAATCAACCAATAATTGAATTTGGACAATGAGGTTTCCATCCAAATGAAACTGTCCAAATCGTACCTTCGGTAAAAGCAGAATCGTAGCTGCATCAGTTGGAGGGATGATGAGAAACAGCTGGTACAACCGCATGAAAATAGCACGATATATTCGAACAAGTGAGCAATGCGCCTCCAATATTCCAAGCCACAGGGCGATATCACATCTCGGGATTGTAGAACTCGTCGTTCGATCCGGAGATGTCACCGTGGTATGATAACCGGAATCATGTGGGGATATGGTGGTGCCACCTTCATCCCCGCCACTGTCGCCAGCATCCGGAAGGATAAACAAAGAGTCTTCATATCTGCTATTCTCAGGTTCAAATCGTTGAGTAGCAAATGTAGCATCCAAGCTTTCTTCCGCCATGCCACACGAAGATCGAATAATTGCCAAAAGCCAAGAACTGTGCTCGACTAGACGATATATTGGAAGGTCGAGCGTCTCAATTGACAGATTAGAATCTTCATAGAAAAGGGATGACGACTGTAGGAGTGTCGATCCATTTTCGAATAGCTCCAGATCTTCAAGGAGTCCTATTTTCAATCTCAAGAGACTCTTGCGAATGTCTTTCAGAGAGGAGAGAACTGCTTGGCTTGTTGTCGTTGGGGGAGGCTTGGTTATAGTTGTGGGGTCTGGCTGATTTACCCACGCAGAATCTGGAAGCTCCTTTATGCCAAATGGCGATTCATTCTCGCCATACTTGAGACGCGTAATTTGAAAAGGATCGGAAATTGCCATTTCAGTGGCTTGCCTCGCGCCTGGTAGGGCATCATTGGTAAAAGCTGAAGGAAAACAAGAATTTGCTTCGCAAGGATATAGTTGATCAGATGGCATCCAATCAGAAGGCTATAGGGATTACTAGTCAGTAGGTGTCTGGTATATCTCCCCTCGATGTCTAACTTACTAGGTTATAAGCATCTGTCGACCACTTTGAAAGAGGATCACTCCATTGCTCAACAGGGACCATCATGTTTCCAAGCTCTAGGGGCATATTAAACCCAAAGTCCGCTGAGGGTGAGCAAAAGCTCGCTGTGGGAAAAACGGGCATTGGCTGTACTCCTCCCCAGTAATGGTGTTCTTTCATACTGTGTCTCCTTGGAATTGGAGAGGGAGAGTGCACCAACTTCTTCACTCTGGAGCCAGATGATTTATGAAGCACAGAGATTGATTTATGTCTTGGATTGAACCTTTGGTGCTCACGGTCATCTCGGGCAACTAGATTCTGTCCATGGTTTGAGGGTAAAATGACTTGCGCAGGTTGGTTCATACTTGTGATACATATCTCTTGGGCCTTAAGACATCGCTCACAAGACATGCCATTCATATGATCGCGCTCGCATCGCAACTTTTGTCCGCGACAACGATCACAAGCGGACCGTCGAGAGTGCCGATAATTGTGGTTTGGATGCATTGTACGGATAAAAAAAAGAAACAAGAAGTAACATTCGCTATGGCGGCCGACAATTGCAGAGATAGACCATTGAGGGGAAGTTACCGAGCGCAAATATGTACTCTGAATGCAATACAGGAATCCTCCAATTAGGTTGGGTCATTCCCATCGACACATCTAAGCAGACTTCACGCTCGAGGAAAGATAGTTCTATTCGAAATTAGAGTAAGCGCGTGGGTTGGTATCACCGCGTCTGTATACCTCTCCCTTGGAACATGATCCACAACATTCTCGAGAACGCTACATGATGATTTGTTGAATGCTCCCAATTCTTGCACGCCCAGTTCTCAAGTGTGACAAGTTCTCAACTCATAATAACTCAGACAGCTCACAACATGTGTATAGACATGCGGACATGCAGAAAAAGGTTTAAGGGTATTCTCATCGCATCCATGAACTGAAGGCTGAGCCCCAGAGTCCTGGTACGAGGTGCGTCAGGATCCATGGAAGATGTTACACTACGCCCAAATGGGAGCGATTTATGAAGGAGCATATCTGCTGTGATACAATGGAGGTGAATATTGTCTCACCTAGCGCCGCACCTGAAACGTGAATCCCCTTTCACGAAGAATGGACAATAGGTTGAGACGGCTTCAACAGTCCTTGGCCTAAATTAAAGACGTCGTAGGAAATGGCGAAGAAATTAAACAGAGAATAATACGGAACCTAGTCTCAAAGACACAGGTCATCCCCCCGACAGTGCTTAAAGACACCCAGTTGGTTAGAGATATTACGCTATAGTACCTACGTGAGAGGCGAACTTGACGCCACTAAGTTAAACTTGTAACCTAAACACTACGAAATCAGGTGTAGACTACCATAAGAAGTACCCAATCCGATTTCGAAGATTGCAGTCTACGTTGAGCCCGAAGCCACATCGAAGTTTGGAGAATTAAGCCATCCTAGGGCCGAGCTGAGAATCTTCCGGCTTGACGGTTCTGGGGCCCTGGTATTTTCCTTTTTTTTCCTGCCCTGCTGGATTTCATATTTTTCGTCCACATCCTGAAATCTACCGATTACGGAGTATTCTAGTACCAACTGTCGAGGGGCGGAGAATCCAAAGTAAGGGGTTGAAAGCATGACTGGATCCCTGGCCAGAGCGCCGCTGGCTTTTAAACACTTGAAATATCGATAAGGTGCAAAGGTATACCATGTATGATTCAAGGACATACATCTGCATCGTGTAGACCCCCAGTGCGCTTACCTGTGAGTTCAAAAAGCTGATGATATGTATTATTTACATCAAAGCTAGCAGCCGCTTATATCCCGGATTTGCGCCTAATCTATCCGCCTAACCAAACCCGAAGAAAGGTCCATTTGAAAGTTTGGGAATTTCCGCGTAACTTCTGTAGTTGTAATGAGCCAGTCTTCAGCAGAGAGTCACATCTTCGTGGAACTCATTTGGAATCAAACAAATAATAAAGGACAAAGTCAAAGAGCCTTCATAGGGAGTTTCCACTCGGCCCAGAGTGTCCATTCCAGCCTTTTATCATCACGCGAACGCCCTGGCTTCCTTTTCGCGGGTGCCCATTGAACATGTCTCGTACGATTCGAACATCATCTACTGTAGTCTCATAGAGCTCCATCTCAAATTCGCGAAAAATGGTGGCGATTGCTAGAAGAATCTCCGCCCGCGCGAGACTAGTCAGCAGATGTTAGTATACGATTAAAGTGCAGCAATCAAAAGACATCCACCTACGGAATTCCAATACACTGTCTTGATCCCTTGCTAAAAGCAACCAGATACTTCTCGAGGCTTTTCCTCTGCTCTAGGTCCATCCATCGCTCTGGGATGAAGTTTTGCGAGTTCGGGAAAATAGCTTCATTGTGGTGCATAAATATGCTGGTCATCCCCACAGGTGTCTAGTGTATATCGTCAGAAGAAGCTCGGGGCAACCACAAAAAGATTGAAAATGAAGATTTCGTACCCCGGGAGGGATGATCCAGTCATTGTAAGTCATAACTTGATCTGGAGAGCTGCGCTGAAGTCTTGTTGCCACAGCGTTGGTGATTCTTCATGCGGGTCAAATAAGCAAATGGAAAAGCCTGTGTCCGGCGGGGGTTGGAAGACAAAGTCTTGACATACCTGAGGCCCTCCAGCATAACAGATGTCTACTGTGTTGTCAGATATTTCGGCATTCCATAGACTCGAGATTGTGAATTGGATAACTTACGAGATACGGCATTGTTTCGTATTCCGCCAAAGTTGCTGTTCCATCGGGGTCAAGTCGGTTGAGCTCGCCCCGTAGCCTTTGTAGCTTTTCTGGGTTGTTGAGTAGATGGAAGGTAAGTGTTGTCAAATTCTTCGCAGTCGTTTCTCCTCCAGCCGAGATGACAGTGAAAACCTCCTGACTCAAGCGCCCAGGTGCTTTCTCCTCTGGGGGAAGCTTGCTGTCTAGCAGCGCATGAAATAATGTGCCTTTCGGAACACTAACCTTGTCATCTGCCAAGTTCCTGCCAGCGGCTTGGCTATCAATGATCGATTTCGCTAGTCGCAAGCTTTCCATTTTTTGATCAATTACCGGCCCAATGTGAGGGTTGATACTCACAACTAGCCACCGTGGAAGTAGCTCAAACAATCTGAAGACCCAGCGAAATTGTTTGAATTGAACTCCGACTTGTACAATTGCCTCAATTGTCTTTGACCACTGCGGTGTGAAATCAGGGTCATCCAAATAATGGAACGATTCACCCATAGAATACTCCACGACCACGTCTGTCGTGTAGGCATTAAACGCATGATAAATATGCAGCGGTGTATCCCTCTCCTTCCATGCCCGCATTCCTTTGCGCAACTTATCAATCATTCTCCGGAGCATGGGTTCCAACTGTCGAATTCGCTGATGAGAAAAGAACGGGTTCATAGGTTGTCGGCGTATCCGATGACAGCGGTGATCAACGGAGCCAAAAGCGGATGCAGGTGCCCCAAACATGCCAGTCAAATGTAATGACTTGTTTCTCGGTTTGTCGCGAGAGTATAAGATCTCATAGTACTCTGGATCATCGATGTGTAGTTCAAAGGGACTGATTCTCACAATCGGGCCGTATTTGCGATGCATCTCGGCGATTCGAAAAGTGTACTGGCCTTCGAGGAATGAATCGTAATAGAACTCGTACCACATTGTCACAGCAGCCAGTTTTGGTCCTGGGAAATGGGCCAGTGGTGACAACCATAGCCGATATGTTGCCAACCACACCCCATACGTCAGTCCGAGCACGCCAATGGCCACAATGGGCTGTGCGATAACGGCTTTCCACCAATCCATGGTGGGTGGATTTGAAGAGAGAGTGAAAAACACGTTGTAGAGGGAAGATGTAAATGCTAATCTTCCAATTCTCCGTAGGTCCTTTGGTCCTTTTTGATCTTCTTGAAAGCTGTTCCACAACTGCCAAGAACAATCCGTCACTAGGCCGAATGAAACCAGAATGGTGATTGGAATCCATACTGCCGGTACCCTCGAGGGTCGTGCCTATGTGAATGGGGAAGGGCCCCGTGTAGTGGGAATATTCTCCAACCTATCGCGGCACATCCGTGCCAACAGAAATGGCTGACCATACGGACACTAGTTCGGTCGTGGGTCTAAAGAATGTGCCTATGGCTTAGGATCATCTATTTCACTTATTATAAGAGGTTCGGATTGGCGACTTCCAAGCCCCGTTCAAGGGCACGGGGCCTGGGTGGAACCTTCAGAATTCCAGAGGGACAAAGCGTTGACACTGCCGACAGCTAAAGAATCAAAAATCTTGGAGAATAATTAACATAACGATCTTCTATGGGAAAAGAGATGTTTTTGCTTCTTTTTCCGTTTATATTCCACTTTTTTTGTGTCTTCAGACGGATGTGATAGAGATGGATGTGTGCACGTTCTTCATGAAGTTAGGACGGTTCCCATTTGGGAATAGTGGAAATTTCCAAGGAAAAAGCCCCCACAGACAACGCTATTGTGCGTCAAAAGTCTGTGAAATACGAGACATAATAGGGGGATATCATTGAGGATGGTTCTCACCCAACCTCGAGATCAAGACGTTGTACCGAGTAGCGGAACGTTGATGATAACCCCTTCAGACACATACAGTACAGTTACAGCAAATAAGAGTTACGCGTTGTGTAAGTAAGAAATTCAAAGAGCAGGGTGTGCGGAGTTGCCCTTCTCCCAAGGACACACGAATCCTTCTTAGGTCGTAGTCATTTATATTGTCATATTACACCACCCATCTGCATTTGTAAGATAGGTTTGCTTCTGCCAATCCCACATACTTCAACGTGCTGCACATCCTGAATTTTGCATTTTTAGAGCCCATCACTCATCCTACAAGGGAGGGACTGGAATAAAACCAACTGTGCTCCCGCGCTTTCGCTGGGTTTGTCCATGATTAGGCGGTTATTCCCCCGGCTTTTTCTCCTCTTAAGAATAAAAACATCGAAACTTTCTGTGCAAACTAAAATGATACATACTCGGGTACCAAACTAAGATGCGTGGTCGCCGAGGTCCGAATGCGGGAACTGAGAAGGTTATATGTATTTACAGCTTATACTATGCATATAGCCTTCGATCATCGATAACAACATCAAAATGAATTTCGACTTGCCAGCAGATCTCCAAGCTCATTTAGAATCTATAGATTCATTTATTCATTCAACTATTCTTCCGTTGCAGCATTCCGACAACAATAACCGCTTCTTTGATCATCACCGTGAGGTGAGTATGCACGGACTGACTGGGAAAACAATGGGAATCCACGGAAGGAATGGGAAGAGCTATTAGGTCAGTTGGACAAAACTTGGACGAAACCCAAAGACAACCGAGGCTGATAAATCGAATCGAGGCTGATAAATCGGTAAGGAAGGCGCGTACTCTAGCTGATTCCTCGGGTTTTGATCGATTCGCCCTCCCCGGGGTCTGTGGTGGGAAGTCACATCCAGAGGTGAACTTATGGATGTCCGCCATTCGCTATCACTTGTCCTCGAATGCTACGTACGGCGATGGTTTGGGACGCTCCACCATTTTGGCAATCAACGACAAAGAGATACCTTGATTCCCGCCTGCAGGGGAAGTTCCGAACAACATTCGGACTTACTGAACCCGACCACGGAAGTGAGGCAACGTTCATGTCTACTACAGCCCGTCGATTCGGGAAGGTTTGAGATTACGGGGGCAAAAAAGTGGCAGATAGGGGCGCGTCACTGTACCCATTTTCTGATCTTTGCACGAACTTCTGGCCAAACAGGATCGGCAGAAGGCACTACGGCATTGTTAGTTCCTCGTAACACAAGAGGGTTCGTATCCTTAGTTACGAGTGGACATTGAACATGCCCACCGACCACGCAACGGTGGAACTGAATAGTGTATGGGTGCCTGGATCGGCGGTTTTCGGATCGGTCAACCAGGGACTAGCCATCGCCCAAACATTTGTGCACGAGAATAGAATTCGTCAAGCAACCAGCTCCTGTGGGGCCGCACAGTACTTCCTGGACCGAAGCATCGAGCGCGCGCGGACACGGAAGATATGGGGTGAAGGGCAAACCCTGGCTGATAACCAGGCTATTCAGTTCCTGGTCGTTGAGTTAATGACGCAAGTGGAGATGCTGCGACTGTTCATATTGAAGACAAGCTGGGAGATGGATCGTATTGTGGCGGTGTGCCAGTCATCGGAAGCCCAGCGCCCGCCATGGGTGGGAATTGAGCGCCGACTCTCCGGTCAGGTGGCCCTGTGTAACTTCTGGGCAAATCGATTATGCTGTCAAGCTGCCGACCGAGCGATTCAGGTTGGTCCACACCTGCTGATTATGGAGACATGACTGACCGATCAGATTCATGGGGGTGATGGATACTCTCGTCACTACCCTTTTGAACACATATATCGTCATTTCCGTCGCTATCGAATCACAGAAGGCGCAGAGGAGATTCAGATGCGCAAGATTGGGGCGTACATTTTTGGATTTTCTGGCCCAAAGAAAAAGGAGATGGAACATGTTGAGCGTTCAAAAGCCAAAATTTGATCTGACCCCTGAAACAGGTACTTGGGGCTAGGACCAGGCCATTCTAACAGAAGTACGGCCGAATCCGCATCAACATCACCTACATAGGCAAGTCGAAGTGAAGTACATTTGTAGCACGAGGGTGTGAGATGGGGCAGTTTCGGAAGATTGGTTGTGTCATATTGCGCACATGGATAACTAGTTAGTTATCAACTCGTTCTTAATCTGCGATTTCGGGCTACAGAGTCACGTGAGTTATAATGTTGCTGCCTAACTTCCCAGGCCGCAAATTCCACGCCTCCCAAGGTTTTCCCGAGATGCGAGTCGTACGACAATGTTGAAGTAGTGACCTAATCCCCGAAACTGCTCGCAAAAAAAAAAAAAAAGAAAAATTGATTCACGGCACATACTACATGTACATATTTGATACTACATTTCCATCTTTAGGCAAGGTGTACATGTATTTATATAGTCTCGAAGTCGATTTTGAAAATCTTCACTATGTACTTCATTCTAAGTAACTCATAGAAACCCATACCTAGATTTGACCGGTAGCCATATATTTAATTAAGTACCTAAAGATCGTCGATACTTCTCCCAATGTACTATTATACAACCTTTCAAATGTCTTCCTTTCCGGGTAGGTTTGACGCCACTTACCTAAAACATTTAAAGATTCTTGACTCCACCCATGGATCTCTTCTCGGAACCCCACCGAGCCCGTTCTTGGAAGCCTCTGCAGAAAATTCTCTGAACTTTTGACAATCTTGAAACATACAGCTGTTTGCTGTCACACTAAGCTCGTCTTATCCAAATTTCATTTCAATTGGATACACCACCCCGTGGTGGCCCTGCCATGTCCGATATGGTCTCCCACGATGCCTCCGCAGTACACGATGATACTAAAACCTCTGTCAATGCGATCTCTGCAGAGTCGGATAATGCTTTTCAAGACACCAAGGAGGCCGATGCCGAGCAAAATCACGCCGACACCTCTACCTCTGGGGAACTAAAGCGCAAGCTGAAAAGCAGGCATCTACAGATGATTGCGATTGGTATGTCTTGGCTTTCTGAATCAAAATGGGTTACAGGGGATGCTAACTTACTTCTGTGACAGGTGGAACTATCGGCACAGGTATACCCCATTGCCCTTACGTCTTCGGCTTGAAAAATCACGAAATCTAACATCTCTAGGACTCTTTATTTCCAGCGGCACTGCCATTGCAGAATCGGGTCCAGCTGGCGCGTTGATCGCCTATATATTTGTCGGCTCCATCGTCTATTCTGTCATGAGCTCGTTGGGCGAAGTTGCGACCTATATTCCAATCCCCGGTGCCTTCACGTCCTATGCAGCCCGGCTGATCGACCCAAGCCTCGGATTTTCCATGGGCTGGATTTATTGGTTCAACTGGGCCTCTACATTTGCTGTCGAACTGACCGCCACCGGTACCATCATCCAATATTGGGATCCCAGTCTGAACATTGCCATTTTCATCGGGGTGTTCTGGGTATTCATTACGGCCATGAACTTTCTCCCAGTCAATTTCTATGGTGAAGTGGAGTTCTGGTTCTCAACTATCAAAGTGGCCACTGTCATCGGCTTCATCATTTTTGCCATTTGCATCGATGTCGGAGTTGGGGAACAGGGCTATCTAGGCTTTCGCTACTGGAGCACACCGGGTGCTTTTGCCACGTACAGTCCTGATTTACCAGTATCTGTAGGCAAGTTCGTTGGCTTCTGGGCGGTGCTTATCCAAGCCGGATTCTCCTACCAAGGCACGGAGCTTGTCGGTGTGGCAGCTGGAGAAACCGAAAACCCACAAAAAACAGTTCCGTCGGCTATCCGCAAGACGTTTGTTCGAATTCTTCTCTTCTTCGTCTTGACCATCTTCTTCATTGGGCTCGTGGTCCCCTATAACAACGGCCGACTCACCACCGCAACAACCAACGCATCCTCCTCACCTATGGTTATCGCGGCTGATTTGGCCGGAGTCAAGGTTCTTCCGAGCTTAATCAATGCTGTGCTCTTGTCTGTGGTTTTATCAGCCGCAAACTCCAATGTTTACAGTGGCAGTCGAGTCCTGACTGGATTGGCACATGAAGGATTTGCTCCCGCCTGTTTCGGCTGGGTGACTAAGCATGGTGTTCCCTATATCAGTGTGACGTTCACCGCTTTGTTTGGTTTGTTGGGTTTCATGAACGTTTCCAATGACGCTGGTCAAGTCTTCACTTGGCTTGTGAACCTTTCTAGCGTTGCGGGCTTTGTCACCTGGGCCTCGATCAATGCGTGTCATATTGCGTTCATGCGAGTATTGGCAAACCGCGGGATTTCTCGTGATACACTTCCGTACAAGGCCATCTTGCAACCATATCTCGCTTGGTATGGTCTCTTCTTCAATATTCTTATCGCCCTCACCCAGGGGTTCACTTCTTTCATCCCACATTTCCGAGTGACGGACTTCTTCGTTGCCTATATCTGCCCCATCGTTTTCGTGGTGCTCTATGTCGGGCACAAGGTGATCTTCCGTCCGTCATTTGTCCGTGCAGCCGATGCCGATATTGACACTGGTCGCTTGCACTACGAAAAGGAAGTTGATCCTCCCAAGCCGTGGTACTGGAAGGTCTGGGGGTGGGTGACGAAGTAATACAGCACGGTTATCAACATCTGATACCTTCTATATGTGATTAGTTTAGCGCAAGGTACCTGCGCATGGTTGCTGGCATATTTATAAGACCCTTATGAAACATTATATATATTTTCTTTTTCAGATATTAACAAGCCATTCTCGGAATCGTATATTTATTATTCTTTTGCTCGTACGGGTGATGATTTAAGAGGACACCTGGTCGAAGATTTTATGGAATATCCCTTGATCACAACATGATCGGCTCGCGAAACAGTATGTTGCTGCAGTTTTTATATCCACTTTAACTGCCGGGCCACCACAGAAAAACCACCCATCAATGCAGTTGCGCCGGTGCAAACGACGAGCGCCCCGTAACCAGTTCCATATGCACCCAACGCATGTCCTCGCCAGTTGTCTGCCTTGAGCAGAGCCTCACTTAGGGGGCCACTTGCCACATTGCCAATCCCACGCCCTGTTTCCATGAATGGGAAGATGACAGTCGCGTCTGCTGATGGATTGGCCTTCTGCACCTCGTGGGAGACCCCGGCCCATGTGGAGGAAAAGCCGCCAGCGAGGAGACCATAGGCAATACAAAAGAGGTATAAAGGGGGGATAGTGGCGGCAAACCCCCAAATAAAGAAGACCGCGATAACAGTACCGACAGTTGACATCAAGATGCAGGTAGTGATGTGATATCGGTCTGAAAGGAATCCCATGATGACACAGCCAAACACCGTGAACAAATTGACGAGGACGACTGTGAGAGACGCCATGTAATCACTCGCACCTAGACTGCGCGCATATGTCGGAAGGTAGATGGTCGGAAGGAAGAATCCGATTGCTTCCAAAGTATTGCCAAGCTGATAAATCACGAAGACTTTGTTGTACAGGAAGTGAAAATTCAGACGGTGATACGCAATTTCTGTCGTACGCAGCCTCGGTCGATGAAAGTAGAGAAAAGGCACAGCAAGAATGAACAATGCCACTGATGATATTTGAAGTGTGGCTTCAATCCCATACTGGTTCAAAAGCCACTGGATAACAAGTGGGAAGACTATCCCAGACAAGCCAGACCCGCCCTAATGATATATATATCTGTATCAGTTCCACTTGGTATAAGGAGCTCGGGGTGCAGAGTATTCTTTATAACTCACCCAGACAATACCAAAGGCGAGCCCTTTTCGTTTATCGAACCACTCCGACATGAATAATATGGTGGGAGTATAAGCAAAACAGCCACCAATTCCAAAGCCAAGTCCTTGTGACAAAATAAGATGCATGACGGTGGTAGAAAATGAACTCAGTGCCAGAGACAAACACATGATAACAACTCCTATAGTCGACACCCAGCGAGCAATCTTAGGCACCAAAATCATCAAGATGATTACCAACGGGGCAATCAAGTATGCGATACCCTGGATGTTGGGTTAGCGAGAGAAAGGGGACCTTGAGTATCTTGGCAACTAACCATGGCACAAGTACCGATAATTGCGATGTTTCCAGATCCTTCGAATGGCTCGTGTGTACTATAGTAGTCTTGAAATATACCAAAGGCGAATGCATAACCTACTCGCGTGTCAGTTTCAACAACAATTTATCCTTGACGGATGATCACATACCCCAAACTAGAGATTCAAGCATCGCAGAAGCCATAAGGAACAGCCATGCTTGAACTCCCCCATCAACTGGAGGCAACTTCTCATCGTCTAGAATGATTCTGCTGTCTGACTGTTGGTCAGAGGGTATGAAGGATGTACTCCGGCTAGTGAAACTGGGAGGATATTCCTTAGGCTCCATGATGTAAAATATCCCACGACGCTGTAGCTACAGGCGTGATATGGATCTGAAGGTACAACGGGATTGTGTGTAAGAGCCACGGGGAGACCGTCCTTTGAAAAGAGTTTATATTCAATGCGGCCGGTCGAAAAGAAAGTGAAAATCGGCCTCGGAACAAGAAATAAGCTAATGGAAGCTAGCTGCAAGACGAAATTAATCTCCTTGACAATGATCCATCCAATTGGCGTGCGAAAAAGGTAGCGCAAGAGCACATACCTGGAATCCAGGTAGACACGGGGTCCCAGCAATGTGATGCTGAACCCCTAGATGTACCGATATGGTCGGTTTCACAAGTCAAGCGTCCAAGCACATCGTGCCGTACTAATTCATCGATTTACTATGTCTTCAATTAATGATATTAGACATCTACTCGATGAACGGTTTCCTGCCTGTCGTTCTTCACTGACCGCCGTGGTATTAGGCAGGGTTTTGCACTTAGCTGCAATTCGAGGCCGTGTCGATCGGAAGCGGGATTTGCTTCAAAAATAATTCAACAGAAATGACAACGGTCTCCTCTAGGGTTGGCTCACTGTGTGGGTGCACGAACCGCCCCGCTCA